GGCTTTTCAGTATGTCCTCTTTAAAACACAAGTCAGAGCATCCCACTTCCACACTAGAAATCATCCAATGGCTTCCCACTGCCCTTAAGACAAAGAGCAGATGTCCCAACAGGGCTTCCAGAGCCTACAAGCCCCAGTTCCTGCCCACCTTCTCCATCCCATTCCCCTCCCTATTTCCCAGTTGCTGTGACCTTGTTTTATTTTCTCAATATGCCTCATCCAGCCGAAGGCCTTTGTATGTACCATTCATCTACTCGGACCCCTCCTCTTTCTCATAATCCCCTGGTTCTTGTCACCCAGTAAACTCAATTCATTTACGTCCTTAGCCTAAGTCCATTGCTTCAGAGAACCTTCTGTGACCTCTCTCAGGCCACACAGAGCACCACGTTACACACACACAGAGACCGCTACGAAGAAGCTCTGAGCGGGACTTAAATTAACTAGTTGGCTTTCCACGTTTACTTGTGAGCCTGTTTAAAGTCTAAGCCCCTTGTCCAGAGATGGGTGATGGGCTCACAGTGTTATAGGCGGCTGAGTTAGATAGAAATATTATAGGCAGTCAGACAGGGCCAGGCCCCGAAGGAGCCAACATGGAAGAGAAGATAACTTGTAAACGGAGATGTACTTGCTGTGGGCCAGACCTCAAGACAAAAGCCAACTGGTTAATTTAAGTCCTGCTCAGAGCTTCTTCATAGAGGTCTCCATGGGTGTGTAACATGGTGTGTGTGGCCTGAGAGAGGTCACAGAAGTTCTCTGAAGCAATTGGACTTCGGCTAAGGGCACAAATGGATTGAGTTTATAAATGTACCCACATACCTCTCTAGGGGTGGACCTCAGGGGTTGATATTCTCTGTTTTGGTACCAGGAATTGAACTCATGACCTCAGGCTTGCCAGGCAAGCGCTTATGCCACTGAGCTACAGCCCCAGCCCTGATATTCTAAATAGGTAGCGATCACCTTGAAGAGTCACATCACAGACCCAACTTCTTACAGGAAAAGCCCCTGTTCTGTATTCATGCCCTCTTGCTACATGACTCGCTTCCCCATTGGATCCTGATTTAATCAACTTTACCTGAACAATTCTTATTGGCTGACCATAGTTTTGTCCCACCTCATGCCCAACTTGCAATTTCCCATTTATCCCCCACCTTGGACTCATTTCATGTCATGGTTTCGCTCTATAAAAATCCTTGGAAAAGATAGGTTCCCTGGGCAACCCACTGGGGCCCCCTTCTATTCCTCTCAGGACAGAATCTTTCTTTCCTTCAATAAATATATTCTGTTCTTAACCTCCATTGTTCCTAAAATTCATTCTTCGATTTTAGAGAACACGAACTCGTCCCATATATCATTCAGGTTGGGAGTTGCTTTTCCCTGTATCAATAATAAGTGAACCTCTACGAGTCACTGGTCCCAACCGACTGAGACAGTGGCCAGTGAAGCAAAGGCCAAGACCAGGCCACAGCTAAGGACACCTCGGTCCAACCTTAATTAACTAGATAACAACTGTAGCTGCAGGCATCTCACTCCTGCTGGAGACCTTCCTGGAGATAACATAGTTCTCCTAAATTAACATAATGTTTTCCTTGAAGAAGCCCTTGAGCAAACTTCCAAGGTCCCACCTTTCTTCAAGATTCCCCCAACCCTTGTTCTGATAACTAAATAAATATGGGCTTCCAAGAGAAGATCTTTGTCTTAAATGCCGGAGAATCTCGAATTCTGTGAGAGGGTTTTGGATCCTCCTGGAGCCCGGAAGTTATTCGATTTGTCTCTTTTATTTAGCATCACTGGCCACTCATTTGGGAGATTGTGGACCTGATCAGTCTGCAATAACTAAGTAATACTATTAACCCGATAACACACATCCGTGACTTATTCTCCACCTCAACCCTGATCAGACTTTTAATTACTTGCTCAATGCCCTTTCATCCTCAAGGCCAGAGGAGCAGGACCACAGTCATCTTAGTGACCAACTCTTTTTTTTTTGTCTTTTTGAGACAGGGTTTCACTGTGCAGTTCAGGCTGGCCTCAAACTCACTTGGTAGTCCAGGCTGGCCTCAAACTCACGGAGATCCTCCTGCCTCAGCCTCCCAAGTGCTGGGATTAGAGGCGTGAGCCACCACGCCCGGCTAGTGACCAACGAGTCGGGGGGCTTAGCACCCGATGGGTGTGCAATAAATGTTTACTGAAGGCACAGATATGAGGTTGCAATTCATAATTCAAGGTTGCCCTCCATGCTCAATGACATTCTGTTTTGCTATACCTTAACTGAGTTTACAATTTAGGATTTTAAGAAAGAAAACAAAAACATACAATTTAAAAATTCATAACTGACAGGCTGAACCAGAACTCTGATCCCTTTCTGAATTATACCTTAGCATGGCTACATCTAGTAGTAGGTATTGTTAAAAGCGAAATAAAAATCATGGACACTAACGTTTATTAGGAGCTAACCATATGCCAAGTCTGTGGAGTAAGTGAGGTTTGGAAGTTGGGGTATTTTTCACACAGATAGTAAATGGTGGAGCCATAGCCACAAAGATCCTTAATACAAGCCATGGTCTGGATGCTGTCAGACCTTAGTCTTAGGGGAAAAAACTGTGGAACACAAGAACCCTCTCTCAACATACTACAGTCTGTGCATCAACTACAGAACCCAAGGGAGGCACACTTCTTAGCTACGTGAAAGGTTTCTAAAAACTTCTCAGCTAATTTCACCACGCTTCCATGAGCAAGTCTTTCTGAGCCGCTGCTTATGAAAAACAGGTGTTCCTACCGGAAGAAAGAGTCTCTGGGCAGCACAGGGTTTGAATAATTTCTTCCATTCTTGAGAGTTTCCAACAGAGAAGGTGATGGGGTAGATTCTGTGCTCAAACTTCTTCGTATAAGAGTCAGGCCACTGTCGTAACTGAAAAAAACAGAAGGCAGGGAAGGGTGTTTGGATATTAGGAAATATGGAAAACACCTGGAAGGTTTCTGGACCGTCAAAGTGAAATCGTTCAGGCAGTTTACACAGAAAGTCTAACTTCATCACCACTGTTAATGCTCACTGCATGAAAGAACCATTTTCTCTTCTCAGTCCTGTTAGGATTTAAAACAAGTAGCATTCACAGTTGGCAAGGGGGTTGAGAAGCTGACAGAGAAACACAGATAGTTATACAGCTAGTTTCTCTTAGTTCATTGAAAAGAAAGGTTTGTGCTAATATTGTTTGGACAAGATATCATGTCTGTATCTTGTACTGTGAACAACTACTACAAAGACAACACTACCCAATGTATTAACTGTTGTAACTCTCCTACTAACCTATTTGAAAATGTTTTATTTAAATTTTTTTTCCTCTTAAAAAAAGAAGCAAATCAAAAAGAAAGAAAGG